CTGCATCCCCCACTCATCTGACCTGAGGAAAGTTGTGTGTATGTGTGTGTGCACCTGTGTATGCACAGGCACGGGGGTGCAGTCCCAAGCGATGCTCCTTGGAGCCTTCCTTCTCCTCCCAGTCCCTCCTGGATCCCTTTGAAGTGCAGCAGGGCCACGTGACTTTCTTGGCCCCTGGAGCTCAAGCAGGTGTGGTCCAGCCACCAACGGAAGCTTTCCTGCCAGCGGAAGTGCCAGCAGTGTCCAGTGGTACCCTTCTCCATTCACTGTGAGGAGGGCTATGGTTGAGCACGTGTCATCCGTGCGTGTGCTGGAGATGGACATGAATGGCATAAGGAGATAAGACTCCTGACATGGCCTGAGTGGCTTTGTAAGAGGAGAATCACCCCAGCTAGCAGCTTGCAGGGCCCATTGCTGAGTGTCCTTAGCCATGTGACGATGCACCGAAGAGGTTCTAGGCAGAGGTCAGGCAGACGCTGGTGCTACATTCTAGAACCTTCCAGCTATCAAAACCGTGAGGCAAACACAGTCCATTAAAAATTGCCCTGCCAGGCCTGGCACGGTAGCCTAGCGGCTAAAGTCCTCGCCTTGCATGAGTGCTAGTTCCTGTCCCGTCCACCCTGCTTCCCATCCGGCTCCCTGCTTGTGGCCTGGGAAAGCAGTCGATGATGGCCCAAAGTCTTGGGATCCTGCACCCACCAGGGAGACCTGGAAGAAGCTCCTGGCTCCTGATCGGCTCAGCTCCAGCCATTGCAACCACTTGGGGAGTGGGTCAACCACCAGCTCTTCCTGTCTGTCTCTCCTCCTGTCTGTATACCTTTCCAATAAAAATAAATAAATCTTAAAAAAAAAAGTCTGCCCTGCCTCAGGTATCTTATTACAGCAATAGTGATGCTTGGGCAGATAAGCTCTCCATGTGCCACCTGGGAACAGCCAGGGACCCTTGGTTGACCTGGTACAGAATGACAAGTCCCTCCCCCGTGCCACTTCCAGCAGGACTCCCCCTGACGTCCCAGCCTCCACCTCAGGGCTCTCTCTGAAGCCAGCCTCCAGGGAAGGCCGTGTCCTCACCTGCCCCCTCTGCTTCACTCCACCCTCCTTCACTCCCTTGGCTCTAAGAATTCACCTGCCCCAGAACCCCCGTGTCAGCCTCTGCTTCTAAGACATCATGGAAGCTTCTAGCTGAATTCCACTTCCAGGTTCTAAGTTTAGCGACAGGAAAAGTGTATCCTGGTGGGGAACCTACTATCCCCGTCTTCTCTGACACCACGTTGCTCTTGTGAGCCCCGAGAGGTTAAGTGATAGCATCTTCGGGTCAAATGCTGAATAGGCATCTATTACTTGGCTGGTGCTTGGGGAGAACCCCACTTTGTACCCTCTCCCTCCACTTAGGTCAGATACCCACCCCTATCCATCCCGCGTGGGACAGTCGTCCGATGATAATCCACTGAGCACAGAGAACCTTCCAGATGCTTTTAATTTCTTTAATGTGTAACAGTTACGCCTGAGTTACAGAGGAAGCACTTACAAGCAGCAGGTAGTTAAAGCAAATACCAGTTTCTCTTTCTAGTCTACTACTCCATATAGCTGAATAAATTATGGTGCGATTATATTTAAACACGCATCCTCACGCCCACACACACACCTCCAATCACACCCGCACACATTCACTTCCATGTGGAGGGCAATGGCTGAGAGACAAACGCGGAAGCAAACAAGCGGCGGCTACAAGGAAGAGGGAATGATGGGGGGCGGGGGAATGATGGGGCCATTTCCGGGGAGGGGAGGGGCCGAGTCCAAATGGACAGAAGCAGCAGGTGGCTGGGAGTGTCTCAAGATGGCGGCCAGAGGGCCCCCATGGGGTGCTTCTGTGAGGGAGGGAGGAGAGACCTGTGTGTCCCCAACAGCACATCCAGGACAGGACACAGTCAAGGGGTCAGAGCTTTGACCTGAGGGTGGCCACCACAGTTCACACAGCTCCAGCACCCACAGCCCAGAGGGCTGTCACAGCTCCTTGGATTTGGGTGGGGCCGTCAAGTCCAGATCCCGGCCTATTCTCGAGGTCCGGTCACTTCTCTCCTGGCCAGGCCACTCCCTCCCTTCTTCTCTCCTCTCCTTATTCCCATTTCTCTGTTTCTTCTGTTCTTTCCCATTCCTCTGGCAAAAGAACAGTCAAGCTATGCCAAGCAGAAAAGAACATAAAAACCTCGCCAGCCTCTTAGGCATCACTTTTGTGGTTTGGCTTCGTGGCCAAAGGGAAAATACCAGATGAAAACACAAAGCAACGAAATTCGGAGAACCTGGTGGAGCCTGGAATGTACACTGGGCAACACACGATACGCAGACAGATCCCTACAGATGGTCCCTGGCACCAGCACGACAGACACACACCGGGGGCTTCGCCTTGCTTCTTTAGCGTGTATAGATATAGATATATATATATTTATATATGTATAAAAAGTCGACTGCCTATAAACAAAGAGCACGTCACCACATTTCCAACTAATGTACAATGCGCTCCGAAGAAGGCCCCGCCCCGCCGTGGGCAGGACCGACAGCTACTTGCCACGCGTAGAAGGGAAGAATCTCTCAATTTGCTATGGACTCTATTTACAGGGATAGGGAAGGCGTGTCTCTGGGGCGGCCTGGCCCTTCTTTACCAGGCCATAGACACTAACCCCTAAGAGACAGAGGCCCAGTGCCTGCGGTCCAGCGTCGTCATCACTTCTAGTAAAACCCCAAAACGCTGACACGAGGCTGAAGCGGACAGAACAGGCTACTCACACTAATACGCAAGGTTTTAGGGACAACCTGTCCGAGTCAAGGACACCCTCCTCAGGAAGGCGGGGGGCTCCTCAGTTCTGGGACAACCTCAGAGGCGTGGGGTGAAACCACTGGCTTACTCCCAAGCAGGTCTCAGTTCCTTCTCTCCACGGGGGACAGACATTTGGGCTTGGTCCTCACATTGGAATGCTACCTCCTAGGGGTGAGGCTGAGCAGGGAAGGGGGAGGCAGGCTGGGGGCTGGTGCTTAAGTGGTTCTGATGTCACCCATCTGAGGTCCCCTGCTCCCAAATCATGTGGGACATAAACGGACTCAGACACTTTCCAAGCCAGGCCTCTCAGGGAAGGATGGGCCATTCAAGGAATGTGCATGAAGATGTGCTTGGTCCTCGGGAAGGGCTGTAACATCAACTGGGTTGCCCAGGGACATCACTGTCTCCCTTCTCATCCAGAGCCTGAAGAACCCAAAGTCTCCTAGAGCGGTTGCTCTAGCCGAGACCGAGGTTGAACCTAACGGGCCTCGTGTGCCTGTCTGTTCCCTATGCCCCATGATTCCACAGGTCCTTCGCAAGTGGAGATGTGAGCCACCGTGATCAGGTCCAGAACTGTCTGAAGATAAGAAGCAGGTGAGCTCTGTCACAGAGATGTTGTCCATGCAGACAAGTGGCTTTGTCCCCTGCCAGTCCAGCCTCCTGGGGGAGATCGCAAGGAGACATCGAGGCAGCAGCCCTTCCCTCTGGGGACGCTATGCTGGGCAAGGACAAGAACAGACTGAGCAAAGAGGTGGCCTCGTGTGCTCAGGTAGCAACAAACCATCGGGTCCAATGTCTGTGGGTTCAGCATGGAGTCCTCCATCCAAGTGCCCCACCCCCAGCAGCACTTGGTGAAGGTGATCCGAGAGCAGAAGATTGTGACAGCCACAACGAAGACGCATCCAACTGTGCGAAGCAGGTGAAAGCGGTGAGGAATTCCAAGGGAGCGGCTAACAGGGGCGTCCAGCTCTTAGACCGGGAAGCTTGAGGGGTGAAAGAAGGTGCCTCCCCCCTCTACTCTGGAACCTTTGGTATCAGGGTGATGGCTGGCAAAGTGGCCACGTGCTCTAGCTCAGCTGTGAGGCATCATGAAACAGAAGCTCCTTGGCTGGGCATTTGGCCTCACTGAGCCATGCCACTCTGCATGGGACAGCAGCTGAGGGGTTCAGGGGCCTTGCCTATGGGGCAAGCAACCCCTGCCTGGGCCCAGAGCTCAACTCCCAAGGTCTCTGCCCCTTGGAGGTTCCCCCCCCCCGCCCCCGAACTCCCACCATGAAAACAGGCAAACAGGCATGCACAGAAGGGGCTCAGCACTCTGTAGCAGGCTTTGTGTGGCTCAGCTCATGGTGTGGACTTGAAGATTGCAAGCGAACACCTTGGCTCGCACCCCCAAGCACAGGTCCTTCCGAGCCTGCCTTGGGCCCCCTCACTGCCATGTCCCTCTCCCCAGCCCATCTGAGGAAACCAAAAGGTTCCGCAAGCCCAGGCCCTCCATGGGGGTAGACAAGATTGGAGGCTGAGCTGCAGGCTGAAAGCTCTCTGCTTCCAGATGCCTGCTCTGGGGCTGACAAGCCCTGCTGTCACAGGGTCCTACTCCCTGATAAAGCCCCTTCCTGGTCTTTGTCCCTGGGCTGTGGCCCTCCTACAATACCCACCTCCAGCAGAGATGTGTGGGGATGGTCCTGAAGCCCCTCCCACCCAATCCCTGGGTGGAGGCCGGACGGTCACCCTGCTCACTCCGTGGTAAGAACTCAGGGCCAGGCCCCTCTACTAGGGCCCAGTGTCCATGGGAGGGAAGGGCTTTGCTTCTGATGCTGGGCCATGGACCCGCCTTGGAGGGCCAGCTCCCAGCCCTTGCCACTGACAGTGGCCTTGTGGGCTTCATCTCCATGTCCACCAGGGCACCCCTGCATCCAGAGCCTGAGGGCTCCAGGCCCTCGTCTTGGGGACCATCCTTTTTGGGGGGCGGGCAGAGGTGCTCTGTTCAGGGGAAGCCACAGAGTCCACTGAGGTGAGATGGCCAAGAGGCCACAGTCGATGGGACTGTGGGAGCACTGAAGATTAGCAGGACCCTCTGGGGCTAGCACAGGGTCGCACAACCCCAGGGGTCATGAACTGGGTCCATAACACAGGTGAGTAATTTGAGCTGTGCCCTCCAGGGCCCGGGTGATGAAAAGGAAAGGGTCTCCCTTCTGGGCCTCCTGAGGCTCCAGGCGCAGGAGGGAGCAGAGGCCGGGAGGCTCAGGGGTCAGGCAAGGCTGGGTGGGGCTGAGCCTGGGACAAGTCACCCCAGGGGCCCTAGTAGGCCTGGCCAGTTTCCACGGGCAGCAGTCCCAGCACGGCCGAGTGCTCCCCCAGCTTCATGCGGCGCTGTGTGGACAGGCTCACGTTTTTGGCCAGGTAGTCAACAGCAGCTGGGAAGAGAGAGAGAAACTCAGAAATGGAGGTTCTTTTTGAAAATTCTTCCATCTGCCTCCTCCCTCCCTTCTTCCTTCTGTCCACCCACCCAACCCATCCATCTACCCATCCATCCTTCCATCTACCCATCCTTCATCCATCATCCACCCACCCACCCTTCATCCATCATCCACCCATCCACCTACCTACCAGTCTATCCATTCACCCATAAATCCATCCACCCACACATGCATCCTTCCTTCGATCCAGCCACCCACCCACCTCTTCATGAAGCTCTTTCTTTTACTCTTGTTCAATCATTCAGCAAATCTTTACCTAACACTTACTTGCTCAGCTCTCTCATGGGTCCTGTGGGAAAGTACGAGAGTACATTCCCATTGTTGAAAAGGGAATTAAAATTCCTCTTCCAAACAGTCCTTGACATTGCCCTGCCATGGAGGCCATCTGGCAAGTCCTGCTAGTAACGAGGCAAGGTCCTTCTGCCTTGTCTGGGCCATGAGTTCCCAGGTGAAGCAATGCATGGCTGTAGCTCAAAAGCCACAGCAGCCAATGAGCTGAGTGCTCCATACAGAAGGAAGAGCAGGCTGACTGGCACACAGTGAATTGAGGCCCAGTTCTGGCCACCCAGAGGAGGCAGGGTTGTGTGTGCACATGTGTGTGAGGAGAGCGGGAACAAGATTATCTATGTAGTCACAATGAGCATGGATGTGAACATCACACAAGAGCAGCACTGCTCAAGCACATGCGCATACATGCAGGAGTCCTGCACCCCCTTCTGAGTAGACAGACGGGGGAAGATCTGTCATGTACCGACACTGCATACAGGTGAGTACCACCTGAGCCAGGGACAAGCACCTGTACAGGTGTATGTGCATGTCCGACACTGGTCCAGGTGCTTTCTGTCTTGACTGTCCTGATTGGGCCTGTTGAGGCTGCAGCATCCATCAGCCCTGACCAAGGCCTCCTGACACACAGGGCTGTAGACTCCAAAGCCAGGATCTGTCACTGTGGCCAAGCCAACACTCCAGGAGGCAGAGGTGGGCAGAAACACCACCATGCCAGGAATCCTGAGGCCAAGTTCCCCACCTGCCCTATCACCTGCCCAGAGAAGACCACGCTCTACATGCTGCCCCAATGCAGCAGGCTCCTGCCAAGGGCAGATGGGTGGCACCCCTGGGTGGTAAGCACAGCCTGAGGGTGAAGTCAACAAAGGCAAGTGGGCAATGCCGGTTCCTGGCCCACAGAGAGGCCTTGCGGTCTGGATGATCCAGGCCTGCCACTGTTGAGTTTGCAATCTGGAGCACACAGTGTTGCCCCTCCAAACCTCAGGGTTCTGGTCTGAAAAATGGGGCTACTCATAGTACTGAGGCTGCAGAGTCCCTTGGAGCTCCACAAGCCTGCCCCTGTGACCACGCTGTGCCTGGCTCATGGACAAAGAGTTTAAAGGCAGGCACAGGGATCTTAGAAGTGGGCTTGGTGGGAAAATTTGACCTCCAGTAGGTGCAAAAAGTACACAAGGTGGCAAATGCACAGGCTTGCCGTCCCAGCTCCTTCCTGCTTGCGTGGCTTTGCCCTTTAAATCTGTCTCCTTCATTTCTAAAATGGGAGAACCTAATCTGGCTTCCCTCAGCGCTGCTATGAGGAGTCTTATTTTGAGAAAATACTTTTTAAGATGGCCATCACAGGGCCCAGTGCAGTGGCTCAATTGGCTAATCCTCCCCCTTCAAGTGCTGATGTCTCATATGGGCACCAGTTTGTGTCTCAGCTGCTCTACTTCCCATTCAGCTCCCTGCTCATGGCCTGGGAAAGCACTAGAGCACAGCACAAGTCCTTAACATCCTGCGCCCAAATGGGAGACCCAGAAGAAACTCCTAGCTCCTGGTTTTGGATCGGCTCAGTTCCAAGTATTTTGCAGCCATTTGGGTGAGTGAATCAAAACGCCGATAATCTGTCTCTCCTTCTCTATAAATCTGCCTTTCCAATACAAATAAACAAATCTGTAAATAATAATAATAATAATAGAGATGGTCATCATAGAGGTTCAGTTGCCCTGATGCTGCCATGGTGTGCCAATGTCCTGGGGTTGCTCTGGAATGTCTGAGCTTTCCAGGCTCCGGGGTAGGGGAGGAGAGAGAAGGGAAGCCCTAGCTGAGGCCCAGGAGCCACCGTCCTCCCTCTGCAGCCACCAGATCTCCAGCTGACACCACAGAGATAGCTGCAGCTGGCCTTGTCTTGCCTGAGGCCTGTCCCTTATCCTGGAGTGAGGGCTTGAGGCATTCCCATCTCTGCCACCCATAGACAGACCCACCTGGGCACCAGAGTCCACCTGCCCACAGGCCTCCCTCTTGGAGTGAGGAACAAGAATGGAAAGAGCAGGTGCTAGCGTTTACAGAGTTCCTAAGTCCTTCAGGCTCATCTTTCCCTTAACATACGCGACAGTCCATGAGGCCAGAAGCACTGATATGCCCATTTCCTAGAAGCTACCCTGTGACTTGGGGAGGCTGTCTGACACTCTACTGCTAGCTGCTACCCAGACCTGCATGGAACAGCACCTGGGGTATGCATGGCACTGAAGCTGCACAATGGTCTCTGTACCTCAACTCTCAACGGGGCCATTTGCTCCCCAGGCAAGGTCGGTGATCGTACCCTCATCACGAGAGGCTGTTGTGTGCCTCCTCCCTAAGTCCTCCATGGGCTGTGCTTGTCGGTGGGGATGAAAGGCCAGGCTTTGGGAAAAATGTGCATGAGGGATGGGCACTCGCTGTGTGCCAGGTTGAGCTGATCCCATTTGACTCTTCCAACAGCCATGGGCTTCAGGCCTGAGGGTGCTCACTGTGCATGAGTGGAAACTGAGGCCCGAAGAAAGCCAGTCCAGAATCCTGCCCAGCAGTGCTGCAAGGAGGGGCTGTATTGGATGCTGCTTGCACCTCGCATCACTGTGTGTGTCCCCTCTCGTGCCTCTCCCAGACACCTGCCATGGCCCAGCACACACTAGGAGCTTATCTTGGCCCTGTCCGGGTACCTAAAAAAATCACCAGGAAGCCTACCTTGGCTGGTGACCCTGCCAACACCAAGGTGACACCACGGTCACAGGGCTTACCTCTCCCCACCTTGGAGAGGACGGGGTGGCTGAGGGCCTGGAAGGGGCAAGGCTGTGACATCTCTTATCACAACTACCACCAGTGGCTGTCCCTGTCCCTGTGTCCCTGCGTGTCCCCTTCTCTGCCTTGCACCCGTGTCCGGGCTCTAAACATCTCAAATTAGATTACTCGGGAGGTGGCAGGAGATACGGCGGTGATGCCAAGCGGTAAACAAACCTTGGCCGTCAGCGCCTCGTCAGTCCGCGGCCCCAGAGGGGGACTCTTCTAGACACAAACTCTTATTAGACTTGTCAGATCTATTAACATTCTCTTCACACTTCTGCGTCCCATCAGCCCCATCATTAGCACAGCCCCGGCCTCTGGGAACACCAGGGCCATACTAATCTGCCAGGTGCCCCGTCCCTGGCCCCCCGCCCCTCCCGAGGGCAGGCAGTGACAGACAGATGGACAGACAATGGCCAGGGCAGGAAAAGAAGGGGTGAAGTAGTTCTAGGGAACAGAGGGGCCCAGAGAAAAAGGGGAGGATCCTTTGGCCAGAGCCCGGCCTGTGTCTGCTCAGTCTGCGGCCCCATGTGGACTGGGGCTGCAGTTGTAGCTGCAAACTCATGGATTTGTGCTGCTATGTGTCCTCAGGCATGTGACCGCTCTGCGGGGCCCCTACTTCCTCAGCCGTGCAATGAGAGCAGCCACAGACACCGGAAGGTGCTGAAGTTGCAAGGCCAAGCTCAGAGTGGGTGTCCAGGAGGCAGGTGTCCTTGCTTCCACAACTCCTATGTTTTGTGTGTTTGAATCTTACACATCTCTACGCACACACACACACGCGGGTGAGGCTTACCTGGGACCCATCTGTATGTGCACCTGCATCCAGCTGCAGGTAAAGCTATGAGCACAGACCCACATGTGGGCAAGTGCAGGTGTCTCAGGGCAAAGGGTCTTACACAGTCTGTTTTGGCTGCAATATCAAGTGAGGGGGGCTCTAAGCCGACCACCCCTGGCTATGGGGCTCTGGGAAAGCTGCCCAACTCTCCTACAGTCTAGTTTTGGCATCTGTGGCCCTGGGCAGCCCAGAGTTTTTGAGAATCACAGCGATGAAGGCCATGTCTTTTGGCCAGTGCTCCTGGAGCTAAACTGGAGTCCAGGACAGACATAAGCAGGTGAGAGGGGGAGTCTGCACCTCTTTGGGAAACGTTGGAGGAAGTAGCCCAAGTGCAGCTCGGAGCTCTCTCTGCAGGAGCTGGGGGGCAGTGGTAGAGCTGGAGGAGAGTGAGAGGAAGAAGAGGGCTGGAGGAAGGTGCAGGAGGGGAGGGGAGCTGAGGCCCAGGAACTTGCGCCCTACTCCTCCAGCTAAAGGGAACAAACACTCCTTTCTCGCCTTCTGGGCCCCTTCCCTGTTTGATCCCCTCCCCCTCCGGCCCTTGCTGACTTTGGGGTTAATTTTATTTCCGAATTGGGCAGGCGCCGCTGGAGCAGGGCACGGGGCTCCGGGTGTGACTAACGCCTGCCCCAGGCCTGCTGCCACTGGAGCCACTCTCAGTCTTGATCAAGAGCATGTGTGTCCCGCTGCAGTCTGGACACATGGGCGGGGTCAGGGGGTCGCCTGGGCCCTCCCCCCCGCCGGACACACACTCATGCGTCCAGCTTTCAGACATGCGTGCAGACCTGTGCTCCCCCCGACCCTCACGCCCCTGCTGCTCGGGCTGTGCCTCTGCATCACTGCCCACAGTGCACCTGACCACCCACCCACACACACACACTGCCAGTCAACGCCAGCAGTGTGCATGCCTGAACCACATCTACACACATGCACATATGCTTGTTGTACACAGCTACACACCCACACCTATGCCAAGGACAGGCATATACGCACCCACACGCATACACCTGAAAACATTTTAATGCACTCCACTGCTGCATGTGTGCACACACACATTCATATAAAATCCCATAAGGACAACCTGTGTGAGCTATGTGATTATGCGTGTGCATGTATCAACAGTCTATATGCACATCTCTACACAGGATTGCCACATCCCCACACACACACGCTCACCTCTCTGCAAAGATGTATGCCAACACACACATGCTAGCTGCTCAGACGCATCATATGCACATGGTGTGCGCAGACACAAGTCACCATACATCCATAACAGACACCTCTCCGCACACGAGCAAGCATGCCCAGGCACAGGGAGGGTCCACACACACGCAGCTGGGCAATGCAGGCCCACACAGCTGGCTCTCATTTAGCCGTGGAGGCCAAGGTCATGCGAGGAAGAGCTTGGAGCGGGGTACAGGAAGCAGAGGTCACGGAGGTCAGGCCAGGGCTGCGGCTGGAGGAGAGGATCCCCCAGGCTTGGAGGCCTCTTCCCACTCCCCGTGTGCCCTTCAGATTAGTTTGACACCAGCAGGTGAGGCTTCACGGGGAGGTGGGGCAGGAGGGTGCCCTCTAGCTCCTGCTCCCCCATTGCAGGCCTGCCTTACTGCCCCTCCTGCAGCCCTTTGGTCTAAGGGGCTGCGGGCCTGGCCTCCAGGCTGGTGCCAAGCGCACAGCAGCTGGGATGAGCGAGCGAGGCCACCGCAGGGTCTGGGGAGATTGCAGGCTCGGGCAGTTAAGCACAGAGCTCAGAACCACCCAGCAAAGCTGAACCGGGGAGCGGCACCAACCAAACTCCCACTGTTTGTTTAGGTTGTTCCAATTTGAATTTTAAAGCTGCTCTTCAATTTAGCCATTTCGAGGTTGGCAAACTCAGAATTCTATTTTAGAAAAACTTGGGTGTGTCAATCTACTTTCCTGATTATACCGTTTATACAGTTTTAGTGTTGAAATTCAGAGTCTGAATTTCAATGGGCTGTAAGTGTAAAGCACACTGCTTGTCAAAGACACTCATTCATTTCATTCACCCAGCCAACACCAAGAGCAGTAGGTGAAGTAACTCATTCATGATTTCATATGGGAGTGATCACTTTTTGGATATATGGGATTAAATATGACATGTTAGTAAAAGTAACACCACTTGTTTCTTACATTTTGACATCTGCACACAGGAAAATGTGAAGTGATGATTCCACGGGAATCCAAATAAAAGGAAAGGGACCTGGCTGGGAAGTAGCCTTCCTGGCTGCCCAGCTCAGTGTCATCTTGGGCTAAGTCTGTCTCCTATCTGGATTTGAATTCCCCCATCTGCAAAACAGGCGCGCACACTCCAACATCAGACTGCCCTCTCTAGAAATAAGTAGGAGCCCTTTGAATGAGGGAGGGGAGTGGTCCACTCGGGGCCACAGGCACTCACTCTGGCCGTACTGGCCGTACTGGTAGCCAGCCACGGGGTCCACACTGTAGCCGGTCGTGCTGTAGGTGGGCGGGCAGTAGGACTGGGAGGTGGGCAGGCTGTCTCCAGGCTTGATGGAGTCGGCACGCTGGCTGCAGCTGGCCGAGATGGAGGTGGCCGAGTCCAGACCGCTGTGCAGCGGGGAGAGGGAGAAGTCGGCCTGCGGCTGGGGGGCCACGGCGCCAGGGTTGCTGAGGATGCTCATGACCTGCAGGGGACAGAGGGCCAGTGTCGCGAAGATGAGCCTGTGGACAGGGCCAGGCGGCCCCGAAGCAGGACTGGGCCTGCTTCTTCTCTTCAGGTCCCTGCAGTACGGCGAGGCCTCAGTTTATCTGTTCTGCAAATCCCATGCATGAGGCGGTTACTGGTCTTCAGCATTTCTCCTGCCCAAGTTCTGACCCGCGGGGCCCCCCTCCACTGGTTGCCCTCAGGTGCCAGACCCAATTCACCCCCTTATTCCCCAGGAACTGGCCCAAAGGTGCACCCTGAATGAACAAAGAAACAAATGCACTGCCTGCATGCATGACCTACATAAGTCTTGGTGACTTTGGCCTCAGTTTGGGAACTCTCCTAAGTCAGAGAACTGTGCCTCCTCCATCAGACTGGGGCACCACCCTCCTCCAACACACACATTAGAGTAAGATTCTGGATCTGCCTGGCTCTACCCATTTCCTGTACTAGGCTAGCCCTGCTCTGAGCATCTCCAGATGGGCAGCCTCCTACAAGCGCCAACACTAGGCCAAGGCTGTCCAACCACCTTCCACGATGCTGCCAATCCTGACGTTAGTGGCCATCAGACATAGCCACAGCCAACAGGATCGTGCCATCAGTAGTGGCAATCTGGCTGCCAGGCCAAGGCTCGTCTTGAGCAATTCATCTTGAAAACCAGGTGCTGGGACAGGAAGGCATGCACACAGGGTGACCGTGTCCTCAGCCTCAGACCCAGAGTCCCAGGGACTTCAGGAAGAAGCAAGCACACGCCCTGCTCTCAGTGGAGGAGCTGAGCAGATCCACATCTGGTAGGCGAGACCCAGGGGGTGCCCTCTGCCCATCCTGTGGGTTCAGATAAAAGCACCTGTAGGTGGCAGCAGCTGGTGAGCTTTGCAGGAAGGGTGTGGGGAAGACAGCCATGGCCATCCAGCAATGACACTCACTGCCCAGAGTTCCCTGTCCACGTTTTCCAGAGGCCTGGCCCGGTCAACATGGATTCTCTGGGGACAGTTGCTCTACTTCCTCTCTGTGGATACTCCTAGTATCATGGGGACCTGAGTCCCACATATGCTGTCGAGGTCTTCAACGTGGCGAGGTGGCAGTACGGTGAGGGGACAGCCATGCATGAGGTTCTGACGGCACTGGGCTCTTTCTACCATCTGCATTGGAGGTCCTTGGCACAGGAGGCTGCTGGAGCTGGCAGGAGGTGCGGTCTGAACGGGAAGGGGAAGGGGAGGGGGAGGATCCCAGAGGTATCTCAGTAACCTAATATCACCCTGAGGCTTAGGAGACAGGTTCCCAGGCTAGACCTTCCTTCCTACCTAAAGTGATAAATCAATACTCATGCAACACTTTGTCTCCCACAAATTCAGACCCCACCATCCACTCATCGGAGACCTGGGCCCTGAGAGCTTGGGGAGAATACAGGGGCCCCATTTCCTAGCCCTCGGGATCACGGGGCAAGGGCCTCGAACCCTTCCTCCATTTTTCCCTCCTGCTCATTGCCAAAATGCCAAACTTACAAGTGAGGAAGATAGAGGAATAAGGGAGAGGATGCAGGAGTTAGCTCCGAGACAGGCGGCAAGCAGTGCCCAGACCAGCACCCAGCCTGTAAGACGAGGACCATTATGGAGCTGTCGTCCAACCTGATCCCGTCCCTCGGGACTTACCAAGAACTCTTCTGAGCCTTCCATGAGGATTTGATGTAGTCTGCCTTCGCCTCCCACCCCAACCTCTGACCACCACCCCCAGCTCCACCTCCCTCCTCTGCACTGCATCTGAGCTGCACCAAGCTGCATGCTGCCTCCTGCACTCTCCTGCATACTCATTCAACAAATACCGCACGGAGGGTCACTTGCACCAGGCCAGGGACAGGGTTGGACCCTGAGTTCTCTAATGGCAGCGCGGAGCTGGGTTTCAGCCACAGCTGCAGCCTCACGATCTATGCTGTGTCTGCTACGGATAGTGAGCTCAGCAAAGCTCTGCCACCTTCACGCATATTCATGAAACAGGTGTTTGTGAGCAGGTTTGATGCACCATTGAACTGGTCACGGAGGACAGAGCAATGAGCAAGCCCAATTGCGCATCCTCCTAGAGCAGGAAGCTCTACAAATAAACGGCCATTTCTGATCCTGAAAAAATGCTAGGGAGGAAAAGTAAGGGATGTGGAATGGAGGGTTGGAGGGGGAGTTGAACAAGGGAGAGGAGATGTTCAGCAGAACCACAAAGAACCAGCCACAAGTTTCCAGGCAGGCCAATCAGCAAGTGCAAAGACCCTGAGAGGGGAAGCAGAAGGTCAAGGTTCAGACCAAAATCCTGGGCACTGCAGGCCTCCTGCAGTCCTCTGTTCAAGCTCTGGAGACCTTGGTCTTGGCCACCACCGGCCAGTTCCTAAAGAGCTCAGGCCCAGGGAGCCTAGAATGGGATTTGTTCCGTGGGATTTGTCCTGGAACACCCAATCAGCTCCACATCTGGGTCGGCATGAACGGAGATGTGTGGCCTAGGTCACGAGGCCTTCAAGTCCCCAGAGGCCTGAGGACACAGCAGCTGGCTTTCTCCCTACCCTCCTGTCTCCAGCCAGGGTGGCACCAGCAACCAGGGCAGCCATCACAGGAGACTGAGGCACAGGCTGGTATCACACAGCTGGGATGAGGTTGCCTAGGTGTTCCAGAGCCCCACCCATCCTCCCCACCCAACGCCATCACACCGCAGGCTGCCAAAGGCCGGCCCAGCCCCACAAGTCCCAGCGAGGCACCCACATCCAGCCCTTCTCAGGGTCTCTCTCTGCCTGCAGATGTAGGAAGCTTTTGGCCACGGGGAGGGGCCCAGCTGAGGTCTGGGGCCCGCAAACTTTTGAACTTGAGGAAGTCCTGGTCTGTTGCGGTCAGCCACCCCCCTCAAGAATGCTCCGGCCTCTCCCCGGGTGGGTCTGCGGTGTTCCCCGTGACCTTGCTCTCACTAATGTATTACTTCTTGCTATGTTACCGTTACTAACTCAAAATCAATACCGACCTCCACATCTGTAAGGTTTTATCAGAAGGCAAATCTCAGGCCTGTCCGTCAAGCTGACTGACAGCCATCCCTTCCTCTCCTTTCCTCCACCCACCCCCTCACCCAGCCCCCAACCCCTTCCTCCCGCTCTGCCGCAAATCAGTCCCAGCCTCAACCAGACTAAATCAATGAGGTGCCGGCCCCACCCTCCCTTCCGCCCGCCGCTGGGGAGAGGCTCGCAGGTTTCAGGGGTGGGGCCCCCCCTTGCACAGCCCCTGCTTGCCGGCACACTCCCCTACTTTAAAAGAAGGGGATGGGAGAAATGTAATTAATTTCCTCCATTCCTGAGCTGGCCCTGAGGGCCTGGGACCGAGGCGGCTGAGCTGCGAGATCTGCACCCTCTGTGATAACCGAGCGCAGCTCTGAGAGCACGGCAGCAATTAGAAGGGGCGATCACCATCACCAGGGCTCCGTGGCAGGGGCCAGGCGGGCGGGGGCCGCAGCGGGGTGCAGAGTGGGACTGGGGTGGGGAGCGGCGCAGGGGCTGGAGGCCATGAGGTCAGGATGGCAGGACCTCTAGGGGAACAGGGCCTAAATAATGAGAGCAGGGATGTCAGGATCAGCTGCAGGTCAGACTCGCATCCCGATACTGCCTAGCGGTGGGGGGGAGTGGAGAAGGGGATACTCAGGTTCAGAGACAGCAGAGGACACTGGGCCATGCAGTACAGATGGGGAGTGGGGATGTCTCGTGTTGGCATCTGCGTTCTGCCATTGACCAGCTGGGACCCTGAACAATTACTGGAATCTCTGTGCCTCGGTTTTCTCATCTGCATGATGGGAATGATTCTTGCTTTAGCCACCTATAACCTTACTATAAGGGCTAAATGAGCAGATGCACATAGAATGCTAATACAGTGTCAGTGCCACATTTGTTCCGATCAATGCCATGTCTCCCTTCCTCTGCCCACCCGAATTAGAGGGAGGGAGGAGGGGGAGAAGGCAAGGGGCTCAAGGTCCTGGCCTGGTCCCTGGTGAACAAGCTCTGGGGTCTCCTCGAGTCAGGGACCATCTTTCTCTTCCTTTCTTTCCCTAGGGGGAGTTGGCACCCAATGGGTGCTTCTGAATGAAGAACTACCCAGAACACAAACCCACATCGCTCCCAACCTGCTCCCCTACTCTGCAAAGGGAGCCACCAGGAATACAGGTCCTGCTGGTAAGTCTGGGACCTGTCCCAGCCCAAGGGCCAAGAATGTCCCCAGCTCCATGCCACGTGGGCACAGAGCAGCCGGAGCCAAGTGCAACGCAGGCATTATGCCTCCCGCCAGGTGAGCAGGCAGCTTTGTCCTGTCACCCCCACCGAGGGTCCTCATCACCCTTACATCTGCACCCCAACTATGCTTGAAACTCACTATGCACACACCTACACACAGAGACAGGCACAAACATGAAAGGACACCTGATACACATGTGAAATTGGGAAGACAACTGTGGGAACAGTCAGACACTGAGCGAGTGACTGCAGACTGGGGGCAGTATAAGCCCACAATGCCCTCCTGCCCCAGTCCCCAGCTGGGGCTCCAAGGATGCTCTTGCCTGCATCCACCCCTTGGTCTTTGGGAGAGAGGCAGTCTCCAAGCATGGGAATCAACGAAGGTGGCCTGGGTCCTGGGGCCTAGAGTCCATCCGGGTGCCCAGGACCCCACCCTGAATGACTCTTACTACATCATTACAAAGAGCTAGGACCCCTCTGCTGTCTGTGCTGGTCCTGGTTCCCGGCACCCACTTACCAGAGCTGACTTAAGACCCCCAGGGGGAAAAGAACGACTCCCCAGATATTCCAACTGCAGACAATTCTCAGAATCTCTATTTTCAAATCGTCACTGTTGTTACGCGTACACCATGGGTACACACACCTGTAAGAGCCATGACGTGCACAGAGACGTACACAAGCTGGCAGGAACACACAGCAAAGACAGACGCTGCCAAGCTGCCGCGCACCCCTCCCCA